GGGCTAGTTCTGGGATAGGTGCATACATGGGAGGAAGAAGTGTTTGCTGCTTTTGGACAGTTTGCTGGACAGTCTGAAAAGTTCCTGTGGAAGCAGGATGCGGTGAAGTCTGGTGTTCAGCTAGCCCTTATTGAAAAACAGCTACACTACTAGCTCTTATATTAGCACAAATCTAAAGTACCTCTGGAAGTTCATTCAAAGTTTCAACACACATTTCATTAGTTTCTGCCTTTGGCTTTGGTTAACTGATGAACTCACTGTCTCTCTTTCCCACCCTCTTGCCTATTGTAATTTAATTTAGGACCATGTCACCATGATTACTACATTTTTAATGACTATGATAGGCTAATTGTTACTAATCATATGATATAATTTTGCTTTCCTTCAAGTTAAATTTCTTTCTATTCATTGCACATCTTTTCAGTCTCCATAAAAAACCCAAGGGTTGATTGGCTGTAAGTACAACTTGATCCATAGAAAGCAAAGACGAAATCAACATTATGGAAAAGCTTAAGAAGAGAACCAAACCAAAAATGGAACCAGCAATGTTTACCTTATTCCTCCAAGGAGCAACTTACTTACCCCTCATTACAAACAAACTCAACTTGTGAACCAAGCTTGAAAGGTCCATTATTGTGGATTAGTTCGCCATTTTCGAGATCTTTTAGCTGTGGACAATGCACCTCTAAACGTAAAATTTCAAATGTGTTGTTTTATACCAATGTCAAAATAGATTTGAATAAAAATAAAAATTTTACATTGTGTTATTAAACTGATGGAAATACTTTATTATTTATTGTTATTGCATTTCTTGGGGTGACATTGGTTAATAAGGTCATATAGGTTTCAAGTGTATACACCTATGACACATGATCTGTATATTTTATTTGGGTGTGTGCCCACCACCCAAAGTCAAGTCATCTTCCACATACACTTGGTCCCCTTTACTCATTACTACCCCTGCAACCACCCACCCTTTCCTTTGGTAAGCACCAAACTGTTTCTGTGTGTATGAGTTCCAGTTTTACGTACATCTGGCCCTTAACTTATTTTCACTGACTTATTTCACTTAACTAAATTATCCCAAGCTCCATCCATGTTGTCACTAATGGCCAAACTTAACCTATTGTACGCCATAAGCGTCTGTAGACGCAAGTTTCGGACCTTCCCCCCATGCCACATGCGTCTATATAAAAACAATGTTTTCGTTATGTGGTAGCCTTGACCAACTTTAAAATCATTTTTTCATGAGAATTTTCAGCTGAAAATATTGAAGAACACCTGAATTGTAATATATTTATTTTTATTATATTCATTGCAAATTGATTTTTTAAATTAAATTCAAAATATTGTGGTATGTGGGGATGCTTTTCATTCTGGATGCTTGGTAGTTAACTGGTTAAGAGTCACATTTACCCAGAGAATGAATGGCCAAATTAAAAATTTCCTGGAGAACTTTCAAAGCCTGAAAAAATATCTTGCTACCTAAAATCTACCCATCTTGAGAATACCATCATGGTAATATTGGAGTATGCAGTCTAAAATGTATGAAAATCTTTAGAGCAATAAAAATAAAAATTTTGTGAACTTACCTGTACAACCCTCCTGGAGAGCAGGTGAATATGTGCCATCAGGCTCACAAACAGTCAGGATGATTATCGTAGGATCAATTTGCTTGTATCCTGGGATACACTCATATTCCACTGCCAACCGGTTAACAATAGGGGGTTTATGATCAATCTTGGTTTTCATAGTTTTGAATTTTGGTGGCTCACCACAGTCACCTGGGCATGAGAGAATAAGAACATGAAAGTAAATATTTTCTTTTCCACCAGCCACGGATTATGGACTGGTAGCAGGCAGGTTATATGGAAGAAATGGAAGGCCCTTTGTGAGATTTTAAGTGATTGTGCCAGGCTTTTGCCAGATTATGAACTGTGCTTGCTTTAAATAACATCCTATTAGCCTTGATTTATTTGGGATTAACCTGAATATTCTTTCAACAGTAAATTGAAGAGAGAGCACCAATATTTTTGGTTTAAAAATTTATTTATAGATATGTGCTCTTCCCATTTTTTTCTGAGTTTATTCCACACTCACCTCCCCCAAGAAGACTTCTATTGTATATAGCCCTCCATCAGAGTACTATTCCACAGTTCGAAATAGAAGAAGAGCACCAAACCAAAAATGGAACTAAAAACATTTACCTTATTTCTCTAAGGAGCAACTTAGCCCTCATTACGAACATGGTGGGAATGTGAACCAATCAGAGTTCTGTTAACGTGGGCTACTTTGACACTTAGGGGTTCTGCTGGCTGTAGACATGGCTTTTCTAAAAGACTAGTGACCTGGTGCATGAAATTCATGCACATTAAAAGGGAATTAATTAGAGGAAATATTTTAATATTGCTATTTGCCCTTTCTCTATAATAGAAGTGTCAGAGATGAAAGAAAATTAGTAAAATGTATATGAAAAATCTTCCTGATGTCAGAGTCTGGTGTGCACCATGGGAACCAGAGTCAAGTCCCCGCCCATCCACATGCACCTCTAAATTGCACAAGACCCAGACCCAGCAGTCCCAACCCCATTGGGCTAGATACATATCCAGCTGGTCCTACCCTGCAAGCCCTGCTGAGCAGGGGGTGTGGCCTCAGGTCCCCAGGCCTGGCGCCAGGGCAGGGGTTGCGGCCTGAGGTCTCCCATCAAGCCCCTTATGGCGGGTTGCACAGCCTCAGGTCCCCTGGCCTGGCGCCATGGTGGGAGTGTGGCCTCAGGTCCCCCAGCCCAGCATAGGGGCGGGGGGAGCAGCCTGAGGTCCCCTGTCAAGCCCC